TATATGAGTACATGAAGCCTGCCTGCGCTCAGTACGTCATGTAATACATGACAGGACTTTACTCAGTGTCTCACTTACAGCACCAATTCGAGTTAACGAGGTATTAATTCAATAACAATAATGCCTGTTAAGATAGAAATCTTGTGATAGACACACCGAAAAGAAATTTGTGCGATTATTGCAAACTTGACAATCACTGAAGTGTGCAAAAGTGTGAGATTTTAGGCCATTTGAGCAATTAAAAATCTGCGATATTTCCAAGCGTCGACATTTCATCATTTATTTCGTGATATTTTGACAACTATAAATTAACACTTGCAAACGTTTCTCATAATATCACATTGTAATTTGCGAAACCAGCTGCGTTTATAAATGAAAGTTATTCAAGAGAGATTTCAAGTCGCGTGATAACCATGCTGCTTTCAGAGTTTTCGCAGCTGACGTTTAAGAAGAATCTACTTTATTACTAACGAAACGCTTTTTTATTTTATAGAATTCTTGACGTTTTATAACCTATGCACATAAGCTAATTCACGGTTTACTTTCTAATGCGATCGAATTGAAATAACTCACGATGAAGGAAATAAACGGCGCGTCGAGGTATAAATGATGTAATAACTGGGAAAGCTCGAAGAAGTGTCTCGGAAAACAAGCACCGCAAGTATACTAGGACGAGTTTTTATGCAAACTTATCACACAACTTAAAATAGCACCAATAAGACATCAACTAAATCGTGTTTGAAATGGTGGGGGGTGGGAGGGGAACCAAGAATCAGTTGTTATTCAGCGATTGAATTGGAAGAAAACAGGAGATTGCGAGAATCGTGAATCACGAGATAGAGTCTCGATGGGGATAACCGTTAGCCGTAAAACGGCGACAAGATTTCATTTTAGGCGTAAAAATTTTCAAATTTTAACCTTTGGTCATAAAAAAAACATATCGCTGAGAACTCCCCGACCTGACAATTAAAGAAACAAGTCACTTTTAAAAACCGAGGGCTCTTTCGGGTCAACCTCGGGACCTTTAATAGCGGGTCTCAATACGGTCAACCGATAGCATTTGGGCGTATAAATTGCTAAATTTTTACCGTTGGTCGTAAAAAAGTTCACCGTAAAAAAATTTCTGATGACAACAATATTAAACGTTAGCCGTGAATTGGCCAAAATCTTAACAGTTAGCTGTAAAAGCTATCACCAAATTGAGACCTTCTTAATTTCCCCATAGGGGATCCAAAACAAAATAAATGAATATCGATCCTCAGACTTACCTCAACTTCAATTGGTGTCATTGCTTTGGTTCCACACTACACTCGGAAACTTTCAGTTGATTAGTAACGGTTCCACTGACCTGAAAATGGAAATAACTGAGAGATTTGAAACTCTATCCCACATACTCTCTAAACAGATTGTTTCAAAGGTTATCAATTCTTACAGTTCTTTCTTGCGCAAATATATTATGCTAAGTCCGTAAGGTCACTAGAGGGTCACAATCGGGTTGAACGTGAAACGGCCAAAAATTTAGGGGTTAGTCGTAAAAATTGAAAAAATCTTAAACGTTAGTTGTAAAAACGTAAACTGGAAAAATATTTTTTTCCTATCTACAATGTGTTATTATGTGAAATTTTGTGTTTCACACTACGCCGTAAATCGCCAAAATTTTAACTTTTGGTCGTAGAAGCCATGTTTTTAAGCCAGTTAGATCATACAACAACAACTTCTCGATCGGCCTGGTTTCCTCATTATTTTCAACCGATATTCCAAAAATCTATACGAAAGCTGCGTAGATTGAAAACTGAAGGCATCACTGTGACGGGGTTTGGCGATTTCGTTGGCCTCACGATGTCCTTCTCCGGTAACAAAGATAAAACTTACGAACCCCGAACAAAGACGAAAATGGCAAAAGCCAAATAAATTTGCAATGTTGGACAAGAACCGGCCCCGCAAGGACAAAAACACTAATAGAATATACGAGGCACGTATTAGTAATATTGTTTCCTTAACGGAATCCGTAGAGAGAAGAGTGAATTTATTTGAATTGTTATGTCAACCCGTGAAAGAAAGGAGAATAAAGAGCTTTCAACTCATCCCTGTCTGCTTTCTGATTACTCAGAAAAAGGAAGGAGAAATCAGAAACAACAAAATAATTACAGCGGAAAAAGGCGAAGAGACACGAACTTGAGCAACTAACAAATGTTAACAAGAGACAGATGTGAAATCTCTCATGATCAGACAGACGAATTATTGTCGTATCAAACAAATATTTTTCCATAGGGCCTTGACTTCAGTCCCACACCAGCTATGAAAGATAAGCGCACAAGCAACATTTGCTGCGATAATTCGATGAATTGGGAAGACAAATGCGCCTATGAAATATATCTTCCGCAGTGTTGATGAACAACAACATCCCTTCCGCGTTAAATCAAAGAGGCAAACGTTAATACAGCTGTCAGTTGCTCTGAAAATTTTATGGAGTAGATAAAAACGGAAATCGCGCAAATCAAACTTACAAAGCCGAAACAAAACCTGCCAAATGATGAAACTCGGAAATCATTGTAAGGAAGGCAGACAAAGGATCAGCCTTGGTCGTAATGACTAAGAAAGACAAAAATTCAAGAGGGGCAAAGTACAACTCGATGACAAGAGTAATTTCCTGCCCCTTGGAAAACCTATGTTAAAGAAACACTTCGGAGTGTTCCCAAAAATTTGAACGAACTCCACCTAAACAATCATATTGATGATATGACCAAGAATTAGGCAACGCAAAGACCTAATCTACAGCACATTCCAGTTTTTTACACTCTCACCACCAGGATTGATGAGCCAGTGCCCATTGGGAGACCAATTAAATCGGACTGTGATGGCCCGTGAGTGCGAAGATCATCTTTTGTTGACTACAATATTCAGCCGATAGCCAAAACTAAGAAAATATCAACTCTTGCCAAAACACAGAAGTCGTATCTCAACGATATCACAGACTTAATCAATTTCACCAGAAAGGACGATAGTCTTAAGCTGTGCAATTTTATTCTCTTTAGATGTAAATAGCTTGTACACGACCTTTCCGCAAGAAGGAGTGAAAACTATATGCGAAGTTTTCGAACCTTTTTACATGGGAGAAATCCAAATACCAACAACTTGCTCAGAGAAATTCTTAGACCGATACCGCATGAAGGAGAACTCCTTCGAAATTAGTGGGAGCAACTGTCTCCAACCATATGGTACCGCTATGAGCTCAAAAATGGCGGTTGCCTCAGCTGATATGTTTATTTTTAAGCAATAGAGGATACTTTATCCTCTCTTGGTCTAATGAAGAAAAATCAGCTCAAATCACTCGGATGGAAGAGATGCATAACCGCTGTCTCCTCCCCGTGGGAGCAAAAAAGAGAAGAAATCGACTTCCTAATTCTTGCAACGGGCGTCATCCCGGTATTACACTCACGGCTAATATCTGAAGAAGATGTATACTTTCTAGATATTACGATACTACGCATATCAAAGCTATTGAAACTTTTCAGTACACACTCTTCACTTCCTGTCACGGCTGAAGGATTTATCAAAAGAGAAGCCCTCAGACTTCACTAAGAAAACAATCTTGTTGAAAAAACCCTCACAGAAGTTGTTTTTATCGACTGGACAACAGGAAGAACACTCCAGGAGAGAAACGAAGAGCGACTAACCAACTGGCCTTTTGTTACACAATGTAATTCATCGGAGATCAACCTTATAAAATGTTATTGAGTAACTGGCGGATTATTGAGAACTGAGCAACCTAGGATTCGGGAGATTTGTAAACAGCTTCCAATAGAGGGAAAAATCGCTTAAAATCATGCTCGTCAGCTGAAGGTCACAAGCTTCGAAAACAACATATGAAACAAAACTGCAGGAATCGTGTCAGGCTGGTCAACCCACTTGACACGTACTTTGGCCCGAATCTAATCGCTTCACCGTCTGACAAACATATTTGCATGTGATGGAGGCAAGTTGTAGAGTTGAGGCAGTTGAGATCGTGCGTCATGTCTGAGTCGCGTGATGGTCATGAAAAACGAACTATGCATGGCTAAAATCGTCTTTTCAAGTTTTTCGAAGCTTTTACTGAGTTTAAGTTCGCAACTTTTGCAAAACAGATTCTATATCTTGCTAAATTCGTTTAGCAAGCTAGCTGTTTAGCTAATTTCAGAATATCAAGCAGAACCCTGACTGGGACGCTATTTCTCGCAGAATTTG